TACCTGTAAGGAAGTTCAATCTTGATTATATGGAGAACCACTACATCATAGACCAACCCAACCCTCCCTCATTTTTAGCTTACCCTTACGCGATCTGAAATAGGTGCACCAAAAATCATAATGAATCAATGGGCTGAGTATATTGATATGGAATATTTCTTTCATTCGGGTAAAAACTAGTGGTCGGTTTCCGCCTCAGAGGCGTAACTACAAGGTGGTCTATGATGTAGTGGTTCTTCATATAATCAAGATTGAACTTCCTTACAGGTAAGGCGTTTAATCTTAGAATATGTATGACTTCTATTTGTATTTGGTGAATAAAACATTAAAAACATTACAGAACATTGAAAACATTGATGGAATATCATGTATCGGTACTTTTTATTATATTTTTTTGAGGCATCGACTACAACGGTCATTAGCCTTGTATTTCGGAGATTGAAATCACATGTGATCTACACTTTCTTCATCAGACCTGTTTCATTCCGAAATTGTATCCGAATTGTTGCAGTGTGTCAAGGAGAGAGCAATCGTTTCTAGCTTGGTTATATATTGGACACACTAAGAGTAAATGTTCTACCGTAAGTTGTACGTCGCTGGTGTCGCATTTTGCGAGTCTGGTACCGCACAGAAGATAACTAGATGTTATATGAATATGTCCAATTCTCACTCTAGAAAGTGCAATCTGTTCCCTTTTTGTTGTGATGGAAAAGGTAGTATCTCGTCAACTTTATTTTTTATGATTTTCAATTTATGGTTACTATCATCCCACTCTTGATTCAAACTGTCTCTTATTTCATTTTTGATATGGATTTTTATGTCTTCAGGTCTACTTGAGATGTCATTCAAATAATTTTGTCCAGTAGCAATATCTGCGAGTTCATTACCGGCTATTCCTATGTGTCCTGAAACCCAGAAAAGAATTATTCTGTTGCCAGAGGTCTGCAGGATGTGGACTACATTTGATATGATCTGGATTAGAGGTTCGGTATTGTAACTTTTTTGTATAGCTTTGAGTGAACTACAAGAATCGGATAGAACCAAGTAAATTCCCCCTTACATTGTCTCGATAAATCTCAATGTTTGGAGAATGGTGTATAATTCAGCTGTGAATATCGATGATATTGTGTTCAATGTCCATTGGTGAGTTTCCCCATTGCAAGAAAATGCTCATTCGACTACTTCTGTAGTTTTTGACCCCTCAGTGTATATTACCGTACAATTTTCATGTTTTTTTGTGATCTCATGCAATATTTGAAGAAATTGAATTCGATTAGTATTCTCTTTTTTTAATCTATCACACTGACGTCCAAAGGAGTAGTTCTCCGAAGGAGAAAGAAAAAAATTTGTGATAACTCAAAATCATCTGCTATTCGTTTTTTATTCGTTTTTCTATTGGGTCTTTGTTATTCACATAATATTTGAAAAACCGCTTCCTGCAGGAAGAAGATGGACAAATACTCAGTTTGGCGGATTATACTGTGATAGTTCACACAGCTGAAAATTGGTATGATCTGAAAGTCAAAGTAGAAGATGACTTGAAATATTTTGACACTAAACTCCTCCTTTTGAATATGGAAAAAACATATTACTTACCAATTAGTAGTCTTGAAACTTCTCTGCCCACCTATGATTTGACTAATCAGCAGTATTTGAAATTCGAATCAGTGAAAAAATAACATACTTAGGTATATACCTAGAACCACACTTCAGAATTTTTTACGTATCTTGTGAAAAACTACGTTGTCTTTTATTCAAATCGAAACAATTCATATCTTATCTAGACCTCAAACAAACAAAATTGCATACAAAAGAGAAACTCATTTTGATTATGGAATCATAGGGTGGGGAGGTGTGTCACGAACTTATCTGAACATGATAGAAGTCTCTCAAAGAGGATTCCTCAAAATGATTCTGCCGAACTGTTTTCAGATATTTTAGTGACTCCCTCCACTCTCAAACAGAAGTATTAGACATAAGGCAACTTTACACCGTAAAATCTTGAAGAAAAAATGAATTCAAGCCATATCGAGTCAGGAAAGTCCATCATTTGCGTTTGAGAGACTTCAATAGGAAAACACTTTTTGTAGATGGCTCAGAAAATTTCGCCAAATCAATTAAATCGCAAAAAAATGTGGTGTAATGAAAGTAGATTTACCAATAACGGATGGTTCAAGAGGAATATACACTATCACTGGCGACAAAAAAATGAATATTTACATAGAGTTACCAATATTCAAAAGAGATATGGTATTAACGTAAGACAGGAGAATGTGTAAAGATTTACTCAATACAACTATGCCAGGAAGATAAATAGGAAATAATTGTCCTATTGAGTGACCACCACATTCACCGGAACTTTCTCTTCTAGATTTCCTGTTGTGGGGCTTCATAAAAAATAAAGTATTCAAAAAACAAATTTAAAATATTGAGGAATTGAAAGATTCAATCAGGCATGGCTTTCACTCCACAGAACTGTACAAACACACTATTTCTAGAGCAGGTATTTGTTTGAGAAATGATGAAAGACCATTTGAACATTTAATGCGATATATCGTGAGGCGGTAACTACGTATTATTCTTCACTAATGAGAAAATTATCATAATCATGGATAGTGTTAATAATTTTCATCAAGGAACAGATAATAGTATTCATAATTATTATTTTACGTTTGTTTGAAGTCGATCGACAATGTTTCATGATGAATTTCATTAGTTCGAACTTCCATTTTCTGATAATATATGAAATGATTTGAAATCCCTAAAAAAACCAATACAAATTAAAAAAATTACTGAAAGTAACAATTGTATTAAGCAAAAAACCCTGAAATGAAATTACAGTGAAATAAAATACAAGTAAAAAAATAGACCAATTTAACAAAAAATCCACAATCGTCTTCGGGTGATGACTGGACTAATTCCTCCGAAAGATGACTATTCATGGTTCATTCGAGTACTTCGACTCATTTCCTCTTTCCTCTTTTCGCTTCACCGGTTTAGTGGGAGATGACCGTTTGGCGAGAGTTGGCCAATTTCCGCCTGATTATGAGTTCCATATGTTGCGTATCTCTAGGCTTCTGTGAATTTCCTCCTAAACCAGTGTATTATCCCACCTTGGGACCACTTAATGGTATCAGAACCTGATTCAGATCCGGAAACACTATCCGTAGCAACCTCACGAAAACCAGGCCACCTAACGCGGACTGCGATTCCAAGAACTGCATTTACCGGATACCCTGTGAGTGCGGAAAAGCTTATATCGGCGAAACCAAGAGGCCAATGGAAGTTTGCATTGCTGAGAACAATAAACATACACAGCGAGGGGAAACCAGCAAATCTGGAATAGCAGAGCATGTTTGAACCCATCAACATAACATCGTGTGGTCCCAAGCTGAGATCATAAACAGGGAGGAACACTGGCTTAGGAGAAAATTCAAAGAAGCCGCATACATGTTGTCCAACAATATATTCAGCCAAGCTAGCGTAGAGATACGCAACATATGGAAACCCATAATCAAGCGAAAAATGGCCACCTCCCTCCAAACGGCCATTTTCCGATAAACCGGCGGTTTATTGTGTTGGTTCCTTTAGGGATTTCAAATCATTTAAAATATTTTTCGACAATGGAAATCCGAAGTAATGAAATTAATGAATATCTTAGTTTGGATCTTCTTCGTAATATAGAAGCAACATATCGTTTCATTATTATCATGTGAATATGTATTTCAAATATTTTTTTATGTTTTATTCATAAATTGTTTCGTAATTTTTCAAATTACGCTTTCAAAATTTTGTATGATTTACGAGTATCTTAGCTCCGTAAAACTTTCCCGAAAAGAAAGAACGTATACAGAGAATTTCTTTCCACTTATACTCGTATTAAATAGGCATTCAATTAACAACGAAAATATAATCATTCAAAAGCTTTCATAAAAAAATCTTAAACAGTAGTTTGTCCCAAAACAATTCTAATAAAGGTTAATTAAGTCTCATTCTTGGCCTTGATCTCCATTCAAATTTACAACATCGTTCACCGCTCTGATGATGAAGTTCAAGATCAAAAATGAATGAAACGATAAATTTCAAAATATTGTTATTGTACTTTGTACAGCAATTTCAAATTTTTTTGCTATGAACTATAAATATTTGATTTTTCATTTCAGCTCGTTTATTGGGTGATCTAGGCTATGACGTTTGGATGCTGAACTATAGAGGTTCATGGTACAGCAAAAACCATATCAGATTGAAACCAACTGATTCGAATTTCTGGAAGTTCAAGTGAGTTTTCATTCATAATTTCTTGCGTTAGAAAACATACATAAAATATATATTTGTCTGTAATTCTCTGAATGTGGTTTTTCAACACCTCATGAATAATATCATGTCATTTTCCAAAATAAGTTCATTCGCCTCCTTTGCTGTCAGATATCACTTCAGATTTCCATACTGTATATGCTCAATATTTTCAGTACATATTTTTGTTTGAATAAGAAATTATGATATGTAGTGAAGCAAAATCTCACAAAATCTCTCTGAATATTCAGTACCACGAATCACTTTGAAAATGATCATTATGAAGAGGATCTCTGAGAATCGAGATATATTCATCCTTCAAATCAGGAAAATGCAGAAGCTGTTGTCATCGGAATGGTTGACAGTATTTCGAGGAGAATATTATTGAAAAATTTACTCATTTCATTAGACAATATATTCATAGGGCTCTACACCCCAATGACCAATAATTGAAAATATTAAAACTGGTATTAAGTGGAATAACTGTGAATTTTCCAGTAACACTATTAGATTATCTGAATAATCATTATTGATTTTGTTTGTTTATAAAAAAAAGTTCTCAAGGTCAACATAAGTTTTTGTGACTTTACTGACCATTCAATAGATCACAATTTTCACAGATACTAATAAGTATATCTTGTCGTTCCAGTATAAACCATTTAGGTGTTTATGACGTGAGATCAACAGTGAGAATGGTGAATGAAATAACAAATAGACAATCTATATACATAGGATATTCCATGGGAGCAACTGGTTTTTTTATTTATTCGTCGACATATCCAGAAGAAGCCAAGAGATATGTCAAAGGAATCATAACTTTGGCTCCAGTTATCAATTACAAAGATGTGAAATCTATTTTGAAATTATCACGATATTTCTGGCCCTTTGCGAGAGTAAGTATTAAGTGACATCATCTGAATACCAACAAATTTTTTCTCATCAGATTGGACATCAAAGTTTGTTAATACGAGGTGTGCCTAGAAAATAATGGGACTTTTAATTGAGTCAATCTGAAATGTTTAGTGAAACTCGGTAAATTCACAACAGAGACCTATTTCCTCTTACAATTGTTTGGGGATGAATGCTTCAGAACAATGGTGCAGCCTACGTCAAGTCATTTTTGGTCAAGCATGGAATCCCTATATTAGTACATATACCCAACTCACCAGATATATCTATGTTTGACTTTTTTATATTCACTAAAGTGATGATAGCTTTGGCAGAAAACAGGTTTGATACTTCAGAACTTCTATGAATATGCTGTCAAAAAATTATTTGAAACACTGTTTTCAACAATAGAAAATCCGAATGAAAAAAGTGAAGAGATAATGAGGGGAAGAAAATTGAAAGGGATATGTTGCAAGATGTAAGAGAAAAAAAAACTTGTCACTTGAAACTATTTTTTATGATGATGTGTTATGTTGGATTCCTGATATATTGATTAATGATTTTTTGTCGGTTAGGAAATAATTTTTTGTGCGTTTTTTTTCTTGGTATTTTTATTACCTATAATCAAAATTACACTGTTTACATCCGGAATTGTGGTATTGCAATCTGCTCGGTTATAGATCATCTGAGCTGAACACGGTATAACATATTCTACAACTCTATTCCATCCTAACATTTGGAGTGAAGAATAACTTTTTTTCAATTTCTAAGACCATTTTGACAAATACAATTGCAAATTGCAATTGCTGTTTTTCACAAAATTCTAACAAGATACAATTTCTTCTATATCAGTCATTATCACAATTGTTTTTTGTTGCGCGTAATTTCAAATCTACCCTCCCTTTTTTCTCCAACAGCTTTAGTTTTTGAGATACCGCTTTCGATCATATTTGTGTACTCGTTGCACTCAACTTTCATAAAACCGGGTAACTCTTTCATAAATTCATTTTTTGTTACCATGTCTGCAGTATCTGTAAAAATAATCCCAACTATTTCTGTACCATCTGTGGTAAATATACATTCAAAAATTGTAGATTAAGTGTGTCGAAGTTCGTGAATTGCGTATATCTTGATTACTTTGGATTTCCTATGAACACCCGTGACAAGTAATGGGTGCCTAAAATGGTATGTAAAACATGCGTGGAGTCTTTGAAATAATGGGCGAATAAGAAAAGACCCAATTTCAAGTATTGAACACCAATGATCTGGCGGGATCCCCCAAACAATCAGAACGTTTTTTATTTTTGGGTAGTTGATATAAAATATTTCAATTGATGAAAGTGGAACCCATATTTCTCCTGGGCCCTTCAACCAGGAAGGAATCAACGCATTGGTCAGGAACCTTTCTAAGAAAGCATCGGATATTTTAGCTTCCCAAGAAACAATAATTCCGTACTATCGGCATAAACAGAAAAAGAGATTCACTTGCATTATTTCCGGAAGTTGATGACTTTGTTTAGTGTTCATATATTCCTGGTTTTTTAAAAAGTGATGGGGATAGATAAATATGACCCGAATAAATGTCGTTTATTTATGTGTGTTATTTACCGATAGCACATTCAACTGAAGCTTCTTCAACTTCGACTGTCCCTTCTATTATGAGGAAAATACCACTACTATGTGAAGATCTATGGTGAATTTAATGCTCTGACAACAAGGATGCTCTTCAAAATATCCTAGTTCAGTTTGTCTGTGGAACAGCAGAGCTGAGTCTCGGCACTGGGTTCGAAGAGACTAGCCTTCCAGGCAAGTTATAGTTTCGTTATAGCTCTAAGTAAGGATGGTGATTGTTTTAGATGAATCTCCAAAATTTTCGTAATATGAGTACAAAGAAATTGACAGCCGGAATTTTCGATGGTCCACTAAAAATAAGGATGAAAAAGACGGAAACTTTGATAGTTATATGACTGATTTAAAAAAAAAAAGACTAGAATTATATCGTTTGGATTGCACAACTTTTACTGGTGAACAAATAAAGCTATGCTGAACACGTTGAGAAGATATTGTCGCACTTCCAGATATGAGTATCAAGGTACACTTCCTACACAACCATTTGGACCATTTGCCTGAAAATCTTGATGATCTGAATGAAGATAGGGACACGGTTCCATCCTATGAAAAGAAATATTTTGATAAAAATTGCTAGTTTTTCAGATAATTGTTGAACTACTTAAAATATTTCATCTGAAAAATCACGTTTTTCTTATATCTTAAAAACCTAAACTGGTACGAAAAATTTTACTTCAGATCTAAAATCAGCACCCCGAAAGTGTATATCAGTCATAATATTTTATGCAACAGAAACTATGTTCCCTTAGGGTCATTCTTATGCTTGATCATAAAATAAATCCTAACAATTTACAAGCAGTTAATTGATCTCAAATAAAATTTATTTTCTCTTCATATCTATAATAAAACAGCAGGCGGCATTTTCAATTTAAATTTTGTTGATCTTTACGTTTGAGTAATATCTTTGCATGATTACTTTATGAGGAACTCAAGTAAATTTGTTTCAATACTTTTTAGAGATTAGTATACTCCCTCTGGCATGGTGAAATATTGCCAGGTTATTCAGTGCTTCTGAAACCTTTTTTGACGAATAAACAAGGAATATATTTCATTCAGTTCTTCCTGAATATAATATTTGGAGACGATTTTGAACAAATTGATCCTGTAAGTATGAATACTCAGTTTATATTTTTCGAAAAAGTTTTGAGTTAGTTATGTAACATTAATAGACCGCCCATTATATGGTTCCTTCTGAAAATGTATGTAATCTTATGCTGACAAATGTTAAAATCTTCGAAAAGTGAAAAAAATAACCCAATGAGGGTACTTTATCGAAAGGTCTTGTATGGCTTCAATAAATCTAGATAATCATTACAACTAGTATATCTGTGCTAGCCAAACGCCGTTCCATAAAAAAATTGGACACGAGAATAGAAAAATTTATTTTCGAAAAACTGACCTCTAAATTAAAAGATGATGAATACCTGAACAAATTTTGTGATTTTCACTACACATTTTTACAAAAACGCAACACGTGTTTCGCTATACAGTAGCTTTTTCAGACGTGTTTATACTCACGAAAATCTACATATTCAATGCTTTATATTCTTCTTCTAGACATTCTAGAAGATTGAGTTTCAAACTTTTCTCTTCTATACCTAAAACGTTATAGTCGTGATTAAATGCATGTTCTTCTGCTTATAGATGATTTGCAAATGTGGAGTTGGTCTTTCGATTCAAAAAACTAGGGAAAATTACGAAATAAACTATTTATCCGTTATATAAATATTATCAAACTGTAAAATTGCTTATTTCTGTGAAAATCAGTTATTTTTCAGTCTTAAATCACAATCTTCCAACAATCTTAAGCAATATAATGTATATATTTTCAATTTCATTATGAAATAATTAATTAACTAGAAACCTTGTAATACCACAAGGCTCCTCTTCACGAAAAAAAAACAGTATTTCAGCAATAACAGTCTCTTAATAAACTATTTATCTCTTATAAAAACCTAATCAAACTTGAACATTGCTTATTTCTATTAGAATCACAGTTATTTATCAGTTTCAAATCACAATCTTACAATATTCTTGATCATCTTAATGAAATAAATCAATCTCCTTATGAATGATTAACTGAAAACATTTTTGGCAAAAGAAATTTGTAACACCTTTAATGCCACAAGACTCATGTGCCCTATCATCACACATCTTGCGCTGATACCATTCTACTTTGCTCGTAAAATAATCTCCATTACACAAAATACAATAATTTTCATCTTTCTGTGAAATAATCTTTTTGTTTTCCAATTTCAATAGATTAATTTCATCTTCTGAGCTTGTTAATGAGGAATCATCCTGCAAATATATGTAAGCGCTGGAATCACTGGACTCACCATGTGCTTTGGAACTTAATTTTTTTATATTTTGTTTTGTTAACATTTTCTCAACACCAACTCTTCGAGGTTTATTTTTCTTCTCTCTTTCCTCGTTTCATATTTTTTATGAAGCTGTCGGTCACATATGATGCAAGGAACGCATTGTCAGAAAATATGTTGGAATTTAAGGGATATATGCCTGTTTTCATGAATCTTTGAGTAACATTTTGTAGGCTGAAAGCTGCTAAATAGGCATCTTTCAAAGCCTCCACAAATGGCTATTTCGCATAAACATCATGACATCAATATTATCGTGAAATAATGCTAAATATATGCGTAATAATACAACATATCGATATTATCAACTCATGCTGCACTTTTCTTTGTAAAACAAATTAAGTAAAAGCAAATAAACATACATTTTGGTCCTAAAATGACGTGTTGCATTCAGAAGCCAAAAGTTTGAAACTCAATCTTTCAAATTGTTTAGGAATAAATATATTTGAATGACCAAATAGGATTGAATAACTTCCTGTTACTGAATATTTTTTCTGGTAATTAACTGGTAATTAACTCAGATACATGAGCTCAGGTAATTTCATTCATTACATGTTCATTGAAATGAGTTTGTACACTTTCTTTATGTTAATTGATTCATTATCAAACTCGGATAGGTACATATTTTCAACATTAATTATGTTTCTTGAATACGTTTTGGATTTTCATCAAGTATCGGCCAATTGCATCACATATTTGATGTATACCACCTACAACTAACGACATAAGGCTCCACCTCATTTTTTACTTCGGGATTAAGAAAATCATATATTTTCAAGAAATATGATATGATCCCCTGAAGATTCAGCATGGGCTTGCCATCTATAATAATATTATATTTTTGTCACATGAATTTCCATTTAGTAATTATAAAATAATGTTGTTAATTGAAAACTAGAGAAACCAAGTGTGAAAAAGTTCAGCTTTTCATTGAATTGATACTTGAAAAACCTTTTTGAAACTATAGTTGACTACATTATCTTAGATGGAAAGTATGAAACCTCTCTTTAGGAGACTCTTCAGGATTCCGTTACCCTGCTTAAATTGTAGCAATTTTATAATTGACTATGATGACTTTTAAGAAATAAATGAAGAGAAAAGAACAAAATGTGAACCGAAGCAGCTGTATCGAATACGATACAGAAGGGAAACAATAAGCGAACAGAAAACAAGAGAAAGAAGAGTTATGATATAATCAAATAAAATTAACTAAGGAGGCCTCTTTCCAGTAAGTCAAGAAGTCCAATTTTGATTTTGAATGCATTGAAGTGAAATAATAATATAAGATTTCAATGATAATATGTTCAGTCAAAGTGAGTGTAGGATAGAAGATGATGAAACAAGCAAAAGTGATAAATGTCTGTAATTGATGTGAACAAATGGATTTGGGTCACAAAATTCATATTAACAAGTGTGAACTTGAATCTTTCAACTTTTTCTACCTCAAGTTCTTCCACTCACAGAAAATATTGTATATACGAATTTGATTGCAAAAAATGTTGGACACCGTATTAGTTATGAAAAAACAACGTGCATCAAAAATTGAAGGAGACGTTGTTATAACTGTGAACAAAAGAAACAACTAGCTGGAACAAAATGGGATAAGTTTTGAAATCATATGTTTGGTCTTAGCCACTGTGAGAGGTTGCACAATTGGTGTTGAAGATGATAACGAGACAACCTACTAGAAGAAAAATAAAGTATAATGAAATGAATCACATCAATCTACACCATCATACAATCGATGAAAGCCCAATATGGCGTATTTCCATATCCCTACAGACATTCTATAATGAAATTATTTTTTCCAAAACAAACTGATTGTGCATTAGGTAAGTGAGGTTGTTGAATGTTAAATATTTCCATCAGCAACGTCTTTCGTAGAGAGGAAAATAATTATATCTTGAAAATTCGTAATAAATACATCACAAAATAAACAGACTACAATTATTTTCAGTTGAATTTCCCACAAGCCATGACCCAAATGCTGGATACAGTTGGAGTGGAACTCTATACACACTACTACCAGTTTTATTTAACTGGTGAATTCCGTAACTATGATTATGATATTGAGAGAAACATGGAAGTATATGGACAACCCTATCCACCTACATATAATTTGACACAAATTCCAGTACCGATGTCAATATTCTTGGGTGCGAATGATTGGCTTGCCACAGAAACGGTAAAATTTTCAGTATTAACATCTCCATATAGTCAAACGGTATCTGTAAGAATATTCAGAATCGAAATACAAAATAAATGTTTTACAAGATCATTTGTTTTTTGGGAAAGAAATTTTTTGGCTTTCTACTACTCCATCTTGATACAAAAAAAAGAAGGATGAGGTAGTCTTCCAAAGAAAGGAAGGAAGTAACGCTATACATGGATGTGCAGATCATGCAAAGAAGTAACTTTCAGACACAAACTGAAAAAAAGTCCTCCTGAAACAGCTACTTACATATAAACATTGAATTACACGAAAGAAAAAATTATTTCGAAACAAATACTTCTATATGAACACTGAATTATATAGAAGATACTTTTCTCTACTCAGTTTGTATTTCAAACATTCGTTGTGGAATAAAAATCAGATATCATTCACATGAGTTCTACTTTAAATGAATGGTAACAAATTGCACTTACATAGAATACTGCCATCCTCACTGGTATACACCGATGTTTCGCCTTAAGACACTTCCTCTAAGGCTCTTCAGTACCAAATTGGATAACATTATAGAAAATACACACACTTCATTCATGAATTACGATTTTTTAATGTCACGAAATAAGCTTGATCTGCTTATGTCATCGATGACATCGTAATGACATTCATTCACCTATTTGATTTAATCCCAGCCAAGAGGAATCTTATTTGAATTGAAGAGGTAATATTTTTTAGGAGTGATTACTCTTTGGGAAAGAAAGTTTTTGGCTTTCTACTACTCCATCTTGATACAAAAAAAGAAGGATGAGGGAGTCTTCCAAAGAGAGGAAGGAAGTAACTCTATACATGGATGTATAGATCATGCAAAGAAGTAACCTTCAGACACAAACTGAAAGAAAGTCCTCCTGAAACAGCTACTTTCATATAAACATTGAATTATACGAAATTATCATACACATCCAGGTATAGAGTTACTTCCTTCCTTTCTTTGGAAGACTCCCTCATCCTTTTGTTTTGTATCAAGATGGAGTAGTAGAAAACCAAAAACTTTCTTTCCCAAAAATTAATCACTCCTGTGATTAATTTTTGGGCAATACACTCTTGTGTATTTTCTATAATGCTATCAAGTTTGATACTGAAGAGCCTTAGGGCAAGTGTCTTAAGGCGAAACATCGGTGTATACCAGTGAGGATGGCAGTGTTCTATGTAAGTGCAATTTGTTAATGAGGATGGCAATGTTCTATGTAAGTGCAATTTGTTACCATTCATTTAAAGTAGAACTCATGTGAATGATATCTGATTTTTATTCCACAACGAATGTTTGAAATAAAAACTGAGCAGAAAAAAGAATCTGCTGTATAATTCAGTGTTCATATAGAAGTATTTGTTTCGAAATGGTTAATGGAGATGGTCGATTAGGCTCTAATTTGTATGCATGTAAAATCAACAAGAAATAAAACTAGCCAGTTCAAAATTACCATGTTGCAATTATTGAACTACCAAAACTCAATTCAGATGAGAATTTGATCCAAAAAAAGATCCATCATGGTTATTTTCTTTTTGTCTCTTTTGTACAATTCTGTCTGTTCTGATCAAACCCTACTAAATCCATGTGAATTCCATTATGAAAAGTTTTGTTTTTCAGTTTTTAGGGTTACAAACATAATTTTCTCATGTATTTTTTGTTACAGAACGGCAAACAAATCTATTCCGAAATTCAACCATCTCTCCGATGTGGGTATGATGTCGTTCCATTCAAAAAGTGGAGTCATCTCGATTTTCTGATTGCCAAAGATCTCCCAAAATACTTGTATAAATATATGTTCAATAAAATTAAGGAGATCGATTCAGGCAAATGTTCACCTTGAAGTTTGCTATGGCGAAAAATGTTCAAGACTGAAGACATTCTTAGTCCTTATATTTATTACTTCGACATTATTCGTGCTGATACCAATATCAACTAGAAATATTGGTTCCTTAGTTTATGCTGGATCAACCGTGAATTGTGATCTCGATACATCGTGAACCACTCACAATCGTGGTGAGACGTACTTTCAGATGTTCCTACAAAATCATGTACTGAAAACTTAAACAACTATTTTACTGAGGACCTATTCACAACTACTCACACTTCATACGCGCGCTGGCATTCAAAAATCATTTCACTGCCTACAATATAATATAACAATATTAAAATTCATAAGATGGACTAGATCATGAACGTGTTCTCGTATTCAAAAATGAGTTCACTGCCATTGATATAAAGTGTCAAGTGAAAGTGTCAAGATTTATATAAGGATTCTACATTTCTGAACTAATTCAATACAAAATGTTTTCATCAAACCTATTTTAGTTTAATTTTCCTTGTTTCCTTTCGAAGAAAAATCAGTTTTGAAACGACAATTATCCTATTAGTTTATTTACTGTATCATCATATGAGTGTCACTAAATCAATGTTATGTGTGGTAAAAGGTTTTCAGATGCCTTCAAAAGTTCATAAATCGAAAATTGTTGACTGATATCTATGAATAGAGGGAGAAATACAAATATCCTACTTCAAACAGCGCGTAAGCACCACACCACAGAATACTACACAGAAGAGAAAGTAAAGTCGGCACCTATGATGTTGAGGGGGCAAATTTTAGTAGCTTTGAAATCATATGTTGAGTGAAATTATTCTTCGCACACTGAGAAAAATTACTATGTTTATCATTCAAGAATAAAACTTGCTTGCAAAAAATATGCGAGCACTGCATCACTTTCGAAAACATGGAAATATCGATAATACTGATATCATGAACTATTTTAATAAGTTTATAATATTTTTTTCCGTTAATCAGCTGTAGCTGATTATTATAAGAATATATATAGAAAAGTAATAAAAAATGTCAAAAATATGTATTACTTCAACAGAATTGAACACTCCAAGAATAAACAAAAAGAAACATGGAATATTATCAATGGATTGAGAGGAAAGCATATGACCGAGTCAAAAAAGCCAACTCCTAACTCAGATGAATTGAACTCATTTTATTGTTCTGTGGCAACTAAACTAGCTGATAAAATCATTGTGAAAAGCGACCCGATGTCATACTTGAAGAATATTGCAGTACCTTCTACTTTCTTCTTCATACCTTCGCACACACCGGATATCTATGAAATAATAGAAATGTTTGGTGAAATCAAAAATAAAAATTCGGTGGCATGGGATTCCATTTCCTTAAAAATTCTGATAACCCTTTGTGACAGGGCTTTGAGTGCGTTGGCGGAGGCAATACATTTCTCATTCTCCAAAGGTATGTTTCCATCGTGTCTTAAAATTGCCACAATCATTCCTCTACATAAAGGAGGCGATCTTGACAACCCAGCTTGTCTAAATTTATAGAAAACTGGTGAAAAAACGAGTAATATCCTTCGAGTAATATCCTTCCTCGAAAAAATCAATATAATAAATTTATTCCAGTTTGGCTTTCAGTCTTCAAAACATACACAAGACGCTGTATTTTCTCTCCTGGAACACCTGTACTTCAATCTTAATGAAAGAGAATCTGCGGGGGCCATGTTTTGTGACCTAACCAAGGCCTCCGATTGTGCAGACCACATGCTACTTTTTCGCAAGCTAGACGTTTACGGATTTAGAAGATCTGCATTACTTGGGTTTGAGACATACCCTTCTCATCGGCGGCAGAATGTTCTATTAGATGGAATTTCATCAGAGGAACGTTTCACTTGCAGTGGGGTTCCACAAGGTTCCGTTTTGGGACCGGTGTTGTTTCTCATTTATTTCAATGACTCAGTCCATGTTGACATAAGTGGTAAATTCACATGTTTTGCTGATGACACCACTATCCTATGGCATAGCAATACCGACTCAAATTTACTTGATACCCACCGTCTTATATTTTAGTTTTTTATTTGAATCATTGATTGTCACCTTACCAATCTGAAATTTGTTCGTGGGTCCTGAGTACATTTTTTGTGTGTGTCATTTATATACAGTATCACCGTTAAAGTTGGCAACATATGGGAATCCATATAAATGGATTTTGGAGTTGGTATGTGCTTCGACTTAGACCATTAGTCAGTACCTGACAAAGTTGATATTTTGTCAAAGAAAGATTAAAATTGTAATTCTTTAGTAGAACTAAGAAAAAAGGCATTTGAAAAAAGTATCTCTTTCAAAATATTTAACCGGATACCAAATTTCTATCTAGGAAAAATTCATACATTTTTGATAGATAGCACATTTATAAAAAATCTCAATTCAGTTTATATTCAATTTTTCTTGAGCAATGTCAATTTTCATTATTGCAGCAGAAGTGTTGGAAAGTCTGAATAGTTAGCGAAAGCTATACATCAAATACAAATCATCCCAGTGGGATGGTAATATTTTCAATGGGCAACATCCAATTCAGTGCGGTGTTTAGAATGATAACAAAATTTCAGCAAAGTGGTTCCGTAGAAAATCGTTTTGAAAATGCAAGTAGACACAATGAAAAGTTGCCCAATTCTATGATTATTTGAATATTTTTCAATGTGAACAAACCAGTATCGCACATATCATAAAAACCGATTATAAACGGAAAAGTGTTGGGAAATTTTCATTTTAAAATAAATTTCGGGCTCATAAATCCGAGTTTATAAATACTTCGTCTGGAAGAATATGATTTTGATAACTGTTTATAGTTTTCTTTTCGGTTTCAAGTAGAAAAAGGAGTTTTTTCTGTTTGTACAACATTTTAACAGATTGAGTTACTATGCGTTCTTAAAATTGCCTTTGGTGGTCTCAAAAAAATCCTGGTTCTGTTGGCCACGCCAATCACCCGATTAAAGTCCTTCGAACTTTTTTCTATCAGGTTAATTGAGGCAAAAAGTTTATGAAAGAGGACTTTCCACTGAGTTCAATATTTGGAAAATATAATTAAAGAGTGTTGTGCAAATATAAAACCCCAATTCATGAAAAATGCCGTTGAAGACGTATGCAAAAATGCCATCGTATGTTTCGAGCGCGAAGGATGATTAAAATATAGGCATTGATCTTTTGAAAACTATGCATTTTGGATACTTAATCAGGCATCAAATTTCATTTTCAGTCACGGTGTTTTTATCTTAGATTCATAGGGCTAGGAATTAAATGATCGATCCATGTTTACCTAATTATTACATCAATTTTCTAATTCGGGTCAAGTGGATAGGAATATAAAATCCCATGAATTCTGAAAGTTTTGCATATGTAGATGATAACCAAAGCGATCATTTTCACATTATTAATATTCTCTCGCCGCTCGCCACTGCAAAGGGAAGCCACAAAAATCGAAAGGAAAACACAATTTGAACGCAGTTCTTAAGAGCTTTCGCACATCTAGCGCCACACAGCGGTGAATAGCCAAACCAATAATAACATACAAGTTTCCTTGGAATTCCACAAATAATCTACTTCAATTTACTTAACGCATTCTGAAGGAATCTAGAAGAAATTGGGAGTTACAGATTTTCGGATCAATATATAGTTGTTCAGTTTAAGACAAGACTCCTACTGGTACAAGAAAACTTCCAAAACTTTCTAAATTTTTCCGTAGAGGTCCCACAAGTAAGGAAATATTTCAGTGCGGTGTAAACAACTAGCATTCATAAAAAACAAGAATATTGTGAAACAAATCAATTTTTTCGTAACGGGATCACGATAAAATCGAACATTCAATTTTAAAAGAAAATTAAAGTAAAACTGGAACATCTGATGTGGAACAAATCTAAAACAAACACTTTTTTCAAACATCAGAACTGCAATACCTCCTTTTCCCGACGAACGTTTCACCAACCAAGTTGACGTCTTCAGAAGATGAATAAAACTACAATTGATTTTCATTCATCACAAAACTATAAAATTGTATATCAAATGATTTGCAGAAACATGAAGTACCTAATTTGTATGTTCACTTCAGATTGGAAAAATGTTTTTTATTAATCTTTCTACAGTATCGAAAAGACTTGTATAGGAATTTTTCAACTAATTCATTAGCCAAAACATTAGTCCAACATAATTGTGCATTTTCTATAATGTATTTCAAAATGCTCTTAATATTAAGGAGTTTGGTTATCACGATTTTGAAACCACGGACGTAAAATAATTTATTATGAGCAATTGAAAAATTGAATATAGAATCGAAATGTTCGGACCGGCTGTTGAACAGAATTAGATTAAGGAAAATTTGTGACATTGAATGTAACATTATTGAATACTGAAATTCACAAAAAGAATCAATTTGAACGTAAGAAAGTAATTTTCATTTCGACAATTTCTCTAGTGGTCTCTTCCAGTTTTAGTTTCATATTAGAAACGAAACTCGTGCTTTCTTTCTTCTTTTGAACGTTTCTCACAACTTTTCGAATGAAGATGGAGAGATGTTCCATTGAAAATATACACTTTCACACTTTGTTATCCCTTGAATATAAAATTATCAAACGGTTTTATTTAGCTTGCATTGTTTGACCCCTTTCCTGTTGACAGATTGATCTGATATTTCACGTTAATGAAATGAATAAAACACTTTTGTCTAATTACCACTAGTCATTTTCATTTATACGACCGGGTTCAACCCCATTATCAAGTACTTATAAAACTGAAATGTGAAGTTTGAAAACTCGGTTATATCGGAAGTTTACAGGTAAGATGTAAGGACAGGTAGTTGAACGACAGGTAGTTGAACTAACCAGGGTGCCAACTTTAAAATTCAACATTGAAGATTATGGTGTTAAACTTATAATTTCAAGAGTGGAGACCTACATAAATCGAGTTGCTCGTTCAGGGGTATATATTTCTGGTTTTTAATTGATTTGTTGATTTCCATTGCTCCCAACAAATTCATTTTTTCCCTTAATTACATCGTTATTATCTTTAAAGAAAACGTTCAACATAACTTTTTTTTACTTATTTTATTTTCAAGTTTTCTGCAGTTTCTAATTCTTAGCCATACTGATGCCACACAATTATCGACACGTTTTAACTTTCTACCCTATCTTGGGGAGTGAGTTTTTTGTATAGATTATATTGGATTTGCATCTTTTTCATAGTGCACTACTTTAGTACTAGCAAGCCCAGCCAACCGTTGGCCAGCCAGGTCACCGGACCTGGACGTTTACCTCTGAGGAAGGTTGAAAGATCTTATTTTTAAATTGTCAATCAATTCGAAATTCGGATTGGAAGCAATGTTTTGTTTTTTTTTTCTCATATTGAACTAATTAATTCAGCTAAAAACGTTCAGAAAAGGTGTCGTCTGCAGGTAGAAGGAGCTGGTTGACATTTCGAACACATCTGTAGAAATAAATCATTATTATTATTGTTG